GCTTTGAGGCTTGGCTCCAGCTCTTAGGCCTCCGCTGCTGAAAGTAGGTTTCTGGCCTTTGCTTACAATGTTGCGAATCTGCTGGCTGAAGTCCGGTGGTATTTGTTAAAATGTTTCAAACTGCAGGCTCAGAGGCAGCAGGGGAACGTTGGTGTTGGTTTCCTCCGTCACTGAGGCAAGCAAGCCTCATGTTAGTTTCAAGCTGCCCATCTTGGCTGTCAGTTAATTTGCATATCTCGCTGATTAGCCAATGGGAAGGGTAGTGGTCGTATGCCAATTACCATGTTTCTCTTTTATTAGTGTAGATGGTGCTAATGAAGTGCCAAGTGTGTATTGCTTTTACCCAGCAGCTGTCCTTTTCACAATTTGTCTGAAGGAGATGACAGCACATGTGGAAGTGTGCCCTCATCACAGTGTTGTTTAAAGGAATGAGAAATTCTAACCCAACCTGAATGTCAGTAGGGAGTTCAGAGGATTGGTTTGGTCATTATGGTACCTAGCTTCAGTAGGACATCACAGTCACTGACAATGGGGGTGAGAGATTTATATTTTTTGATTTGGGAAGACTTCCATGGTATATTGAGTGAAAACTATATATCCTATATAATAAAAACATAGTATGCAAATTGTCCCCTCAGGCAGGAGTTCAACCAGGGGGTGGGGCTGGCCAGGGAAGGGAGCGAGGCCCTGGTGGCGGCAGGCAGCTGGGGAAGGGAAGGAGTTCCCGGCTGGCAGCCGCTAGGGACCCTACCAGAGCATGCATTTTGTGCACTGGGCCTCTAGTGTGTATACATAACAGTATATATATGAAATGGACCTCTTCATGTAAAATTCCTGTGCACAGTGTACATGCACAGATGTCTCAAGGGATGGTCATCAGCATATTAGCAGGCTTATCATTGGGCAGTGGGGTTTAGAGTGACCTTACGTTGGATTCATGTCCACTCTGACTGTCCCTCTCTTGCCTCGGTTAGCCATGCTGTTTTGTTTGTTTTCCAAGTGGCGCTTTTATAAAGAGAGGAGCTGGTATTTAGTGAGTACCTACTACAGTCAAACCTCTTTTCTTGAGCGTCTCTCATCTCGAACAATTCAGTTCGCATCTAAGTTGTTTGCAGGAAATATGTCTTGGTGTTCGAACCAAACTTCGGTTTTCCACCTGACAACCCTTTCATGCTGATACCTCATCGTGACAAAAGGGGTGTCTCAGGCAACAAATAGAGGAGGGAATGTTAATGTTGCTAAGGGTGTGAAAGAAACAGTGGTCACAGTTGAAGAGGTAGGAAAACTGTTGTTGATTTGGATAAAGGAAAGCAGTGAGCCAGTGACAGCGTTCCAGAGGCACTGATACCTGAACAAGCAAAGACGCTGCATGCTGACCTGAAAGGCACCCTGGAACGAAGGCGGTGGTTTGATATATTTTAGAAAAGAAGTGTGTATTTATAGATTCAGCAGTACATTAGACATGTACTATATATAAAAAGGGTAAAACAGAATCATCTGCGGGTCTAGAATGGGAAGACCTGATTCGGTTTTCGAGCAAATTGCTGTGGAGCAGCATTCGAAATGGATTAAGTTCGAGATCTGAGGTTCCACTGGATATTCCAGGCAATTTGTTAAAACTCTTAGCCCTCCTGTGTATTCCTTAAAGTCAATGTGTTATTGTTCCTATTGGACTGACAAAGCATTTTAAGCTCAGCTGGCCAGCAGGGGTGGTAGCTGGGATCCCACCCCAGATCTTTATTTATAAAGCCCTTGCACCTGTTCCTATACTCAGCCTCAGAGCACCAGAGAGGCTTGGAGCTGAGGCTGGCTGGGGGTTATCTAGTCCTGGCAGAGAAGTACTGTGACTTGCTCAAGGTCTTAAGCTAGCTAGGGGAGGAGCAAGACTGCACGTGGGTTCTGTGACTATGCTTTTGCTGTACTTGCACATGGCCTTGACTTAGGAGGTTTTGGTTAGTTCTCAAATTGGTCACTATCTGAACTTCTTGACTTGAGTCTCTCTAACTCTTTCGTCTTTATTTTCCTTATTTGCAAAGAGGATAATACAGTCTGCATCTCAGATTATTGGGAGATTACTCAGATTCACCCAAAAGTGCCTTAAAAACAATAAAGTACAATATGAGTGTGAAATACTGATTTTAGTCTTGTCAATGTAAGAAATGTTCAAACCTGTAGAGGTTTTTATTATTTTATTTGAGCCAAAATTGACGATATTTGCCAGGAGCAAGATCTCAAGTGCTCTGGAGAGTAACAGTTTTTTTTATTTTATGCATTTGGAATTAAGGAAGGATTATTATATGGAGGTGGGAGAAAGCAAGGCGGAGATTGGATTACAGGTACTATTCCAATTAACAAGATAAGGTGCTCTTGAGGGTGGTTACACTTATTTCAAAGGTGTGTTAACCTAGATCAGTGGTTCTCAACCTGTGAGTCGAGACCCCTTTGGGGGTCCAACGACCCTTTCACAGGAGTCGCCTAAACCCATTGGAAAACACATATATAATGACATATTGTTTTTGTGACTAATCACTATGCTTTAATTATGTTCAATTTGTAACAATGAAATTGCGGGTCACCACAACATGAGGAACTGTATTCAAGGGTCGCGGCATTAGGAAGGTTGAGAACCGCTGACCTAGATGTACAGAAACAAGGGACAGGGCTTGCTTGACAAAAAATAAGTCTTTGCTAAAGAAATTCCATGCCTGAGTGTGACTCCCCAGGGCTTATATTGCCATCATTTTTATGATGGCTAATGGATCTTTCCATAACTGACTCAGTGGTCTAATACATGATGTTGAAGTACAAAGGCATATTTGTGAAGTGAGTTATTTGCACATTTTGAAGTGAACATGCAGCCTACAACCTAGGTTAAGTATAAGAAAGTAAAACATACTAAAATTTGAGATGCCTACTAAAATAGAGACAGACTCAGAGAGCAGGAATAGAGACAGACTCAGAGAGCAGGCTAACAGATGGGAGGGGGCGGTGTTTAAAGGGCTGGAGTGGTGGTGGAGGGTTGAGCAAGAAGGAAAAATAACGGGCAGGACATGTCACCCCAAAATTAAAAAAGAAAGTTCTGAAGCAAGTCTCCTGGTAGTAAACTGGAGGTGCCTGGGTAGTTTGGCCAGCAGGTGGCACACGCAGCAGCACTGTGTCAATAAGATGGTCATTATTCACTGTGAGCTAGTTAGTTTTAAAAGACGGGTTTGTAATTGTTCCAAAAATTGCACCAAGGCAAAGCAGAGCCCAGCCTGATGCGAACGTGTTGTTTCGGCGTTAGCAGTACTGCCCTCACTAGGCGTTCATTGGACAGTAGCGCAACCCCAAGAAAAGGATGGTTGGCATCGTATTTAGGGTGCGCCGCTAGCAGTGCTGGCCAATACCTGGTTGGGTTGTGGTGACTGATTTGCAAGTCCCGGCCTCGCTGCGCGTTAGTGCACTTAAATTGACTGCAGCTCCCGAAGCAAACTACCAACTCCTAGTTTTCTGAGGCTTTTGAGAGAGCAAAGAGGCCGCTCGGTTTTACCCAGGAGGCCACGCGCCAGCCGCGAGACAATTTGCATATGTGCTCCTCGCTGGGGCGGGGCCAGGGGGCGGGGCTGCGTCTTATTCTCCCATTCTCGGCTCACGGGACTTGTAGCCAGGCTGTAGGAGCTTTTTATTTCGTTTTTCGCCTCCGACTGTTTCCTTTTGAAACTAAACGGCTCTATTTGTACAAGAGCAGCCCTCTTGATGACCAGTGTAATCTTGCCAGTCGGCACGCGCTCTCTGGGCGCTGGGACATCGCTTGAGCCAGAAATGTGGGGGCGCCCTGGGAACTGCTGGGCGAGGGCCCTGGGGCTGAGGCCGGCTGCTCACGGGGTCTCGGTGTTTCCCATTCATTGCAGGTGGCTCTTCTGGGCATGGACATCCTATCCGCGCTAGTCACCCGTCTGCAGGATCGGTTCAAGGCTCAGATTGGCACAGGTGAGCTGTGGGCAAGTGTGGGGCGGGTCCCCAGACTCTCCTCCCTCTGGCCCCCAGTCTCTTCAGTCTCCCCCAAATCCTGCAGTTAGCCGGGCCCAACCTCCCCGCCAGCGCCCCTGCTCCCCTCCTACCCGTCAACCATCTCCTTTAGCCCCAGTCTCCTGCTGGGGCTGCACCACTGCCCTCCCTGACCTCCCGACATCCCCATCCCTCCCAGACCCCGCCCTCCACTTGTGTGCTTCCAGCATTTGTGTTTTAGCACGAAGTATTACTGCTGATTTTTTTATTTCTGTGCACATTAGCTGTCCTAATTTAGCGCTGGCTGGCCCTGCTGGGCCCTGATCCCCCTCTGAGAGCAGTCCTTCCCTCTAAGCCAGTGGTTCTCAACCTTCCTAATGCCGCGACCCTTTAATACAGTTCCTCATGTTGTGGTGACCCCCAACCATAAAATTATCTTTGTTGCTACTTCATAACTGTAATTTTGCTACTGTTATGAATCGTAATGTAAATATCTGATATGCAGGATGTATTTTCATTGTTACAAATTGAACATAATTAAAGCATAGTGATTAATCACAAAAACAATATGTAATTATGTATGTGTTTTCTGATGGTCTCAGGCGACCCCTGTGAAAGGGTCGTTCGATCCCCAAAGGGGTCGAAACCCACAGGTTGAGAACCGCTGCTCTAAGCCGTCCTGCAGATGCCAGCAGTCCTGTGCTTCCAGGCGATGGGACTGCTGTTACCTCTCACTTTGTTACATCCTTACAAGCGTGTATTAAATCATCACTCTCTTACTTTGAAGGGAAAACAGTATGTCAGTAAAATGAAATGAAAATAACAACAGGTTTTATAGGTCCAGAGATAATTCCATCTCTAAATTCCTGACCTCTGCGAGTTTATGACAACATGAGCACCAGCCAGATCTGTGTGTGTGAGCATTCCTCACAGACGTCTCTGTGTCAGTTGGTCTACATATGCCTGGTATCTGTTACTTTCTTTTAACTTTCTGGTTAGTGTGCTCCTGTGTTAAGGTTGAGCTCTTTTCGCATCCAAATAAAACCCCCTTACTTTAAGAATTCAACATTTTAATAGGGTTTCACTTTCCTCCTAAGTTAACTGAATTGGTCAGGAATATCTTTTGTAAAAGAAAGGTTCATATTCAAGACTCTTAGGAGAGTCTGACCTCTGGAATGCCTGTATGTTTGGAGCACTGGCCAGTGGCCCGCCCCTGGGTGCCTGGAGGAGGGGGGAGAACAGATGCGCTCCGTAGGGGGGATAAGCACGCATGTGTCTTATGTAAAACAGAGACAAAGGATAGGTTGAGCCATAAGTGTCTGCACCTACCCCCAAGGAAATGTGCTGGAGCCCGTCTCTCTTACCTGAATTTCCTTTTGTGTTGACTCTTTCCTGCTAAGGTCTCCATTGACATCTTTTTTAAATATTTGACCAGCATGAAGATGTTGGGAGGTGGCTGGAGGAATGTGCGAGTCAGAAGACACATATACCCATGCAAAAAGGATTCTACTGATTCTTAGAGTAGTTCCCTGGACTTTAAGGAGAACAGTGCTGTGGGGATTGGTGCGGTTTTTTTGTTTTTATTTTTTAAAATATATTTTATTGATTTTTTACAGAGAGAAGGGGAGAGGAGGAAGAGGGATAGAGTGTTAGAAACATCGATGAGAGAGAAACATCGATCAGCTGCCTCCTGCACACCCCCCACTGGGGATATGCCTGCAACCAAGGTACATGCCCTTGACCGGAATTGAACCTGGGACCTTTCAGTCTGCAGGCCGACGCTCTATCCACTGAGCCAAAGCAGCTACGGCATTGGGGGGCGAGGGGAGGGGGCGGGGATTGGTGGTTTTAGATTAGGGACCTCATTTCCGCTAGGATTTGTCTTCCCAGCTAATGGAAATATCAACAGTTGGTGACACCTCCCCACCCCAACAGGTGTTCATTTGATCACTTTGCATTTTGATTTCCAGTGCTGCCAAGTTTAATAGACAGACTGGGAGATGCTAAAGACTCCGTGAGGGAGCAGGACCAGGCTCTGCTGCTAAAGATCATGGATCAAGCTGCTAATCCCCAGGTAGGGCGGTCGGTGGCCCTCGGCAGGCATGCGGGTGCTCCCCTAACATCAGTGGGTTACTCCATACAGAAAGACAACTTATTTTAAGCTGATGTATTGCAGATGGAAATTTTCATAGCTCCCCCACCACCCCCATATTTAAATAAATAATAAATAGCAAAGGGTGTATTTTGAATAAATTAGTGGACTTAACATGGGTTTTGAGTGCTTGGTTTAATCCATAAACTTGAGCTCATTTATGTAACCGTTTCTGTATTTCTTTGAAAAGAGCAGTTACGATGTCTGGGTGTCAGGAGGCCTGGCTGGTCTCTGTCTGCTAGTGAGCTGGGGCCGCTGGGACCCAGACACAGCCCTGCCTTCCAGAGTCTAGCTGTGCATTGCTGGGGAAGGGGCATGTTATTGGAAAAATCTTTCTAGGGAAGGTGAAAACTGGACTAGCCTTCAAAGATGAGCAGATGGTGGGCTCTGGGTGGGTGGAGACGGCTGGTCCAGGCAGGAGAGCAGTGTGGGTGTGATCTTTGATGTCACCCAACCTTTTGCGACCTCCCTTTCCTCACCCGTGAAATGGGGGCAGCTCTACCTCCTGTTGGGGTCGTTGGGAGAATGAAATACAATTATATGAAGAAATGTGTTTGGAGGAAATTTAACTTGATACACAAATAGTCACTATTTTCAGTGTGCTCGGCTGAAGATGACGAAATGGGGGGTAGAGGCTGGGACTGACTGGCCCCTGTGGAGAGTTCCTCTTTTCCTGGCCCCGAGTTAAACAGAAGGCTGCGGGAGTCTCCTCTCTTTTCACCTGTCCTTTGCCATCCGCAGTACGTGTGGGACCGGATGCTGGGCGGCTTCAAGCACAAGAACTTCCGGACTCGGGAAGGCATGTGTGTCTGCCTTGTCGCCACACTCAATGCGTAAGTCTGGGCGGGGCCTGAGGATTTTCTTGTCTGAGCTTTTTCATTTTTAACTTTTTATTTTGAAATAACTATTGATTTCAGGAAGTTGTAGAGAAATGTATTGGGAGAGTCGTGCAAACCCCCTCTCCCTCCTTCCCCCAATGTTATCATGTTGCCTGTGCAGTGACAACACAGGAAATTAATATTGATACAACCCATGGAGCTTATTCACATCCCTCCAGTCACACACATGTGAGTGCAGTTCTGCGCAGTTCTGTCACGTGTGTAGTTCCATGTCAAGGTACAAAGCTGTGTGTCACCCCAGGCTCCCTCACACGGCCCCTTTGCAGTTAGTCCCTAACCTCTGGCAGCCACTAGTCCATTCTCCACCTCGATGCCTTTATTCCAAGAATGTTATGTAGATGGAATCATACACAGTGTAACCCTTTGAGATGGGCTTTTTTCATTCCACTTGAGGTTGCATATATGTTGCTTAAACAATGGTTCATTTCTTTTCATTGCTGAGTAGAATTCCATGCATAGATATATCAGGATTTGTGTAACCATTCAGCTGTTGAAGGACATTTGAATCACTCCCAGTTTTTTGCTGTTACAAATAAAGCTGCTCTGAACACTTGTACAAGTTTGTTTCAGCATCAGCTTTCATGTCCCTTGGGTCAGTGCTCAAGAGTGCAATGGTTGCCCTAACCGGTTTGGCTCAGTGGATAGAGCGTCGGCCTGTGGACTGAAGGGTCCCAGGTTCGGTTCCGGTCAAGGGCATGTACCTTGGTTGCGGGCACATCCCCAGTAGGAGGTGTGCAGGAGGCAGCTGATCGATGTTTCTCTCTCATCAATGTTTCTAACTCTCTGTCCCTCTCCCTTCCGCTCTGTAAAAAATCAATAAAATATAGTTTTTTTAAAAAAAGAGTGCAATGGCTGTGCACTGGTAAGTTTATTTTTAGTTTTTTTAAAAATAACTTTCTTCCCTTCGTATGACTGATGTCCCCAATGGGTGCACCACTTCCCAGAAGTACTACAATACCAGGTGGATGCGAGGTGTGGATGGAGCGAGCTCCTAGGCCATTTCTCTCCTCCAAAAATCCACTTGATATGCTGTCCTTGGATGGAGGCCGTATCCGGTGTTAAACTGATAAGGCTAAGTGATCATTTTTAGTTTTAAAAGAAACTGCCAAACTATTTTCCCGAGTTGTCTATACCATTTTACATTCCCACCAGCAATGTGTGAATGAATCAATTTCATCACATCCCTGCTAGCATTGAATGTTATCACCATTTTAATTTTAGCCATTTTGATATGTGTGTGGTGATATCTCATGGTGTGCATTTGTATTTCCTTATGTGACTGTTGATGTGATTATTTTTCATGTGCTTATTTGTAGGAAAGGCTTTTTTAAAATTGAAATTACAAATCATCTTTTCTGATTGTGTTACAAAAAAATTAAATAAAGAAGAAAATGATGATTACCCATAATTCTAGCACCTTCAGATAATCACTGTTAACTGTGGTGCATTTTACTCCAGTCTCTAAAGTTACATTATTTTTATAAGCAAAATTGGGATGATAACATTTCTATCACCATGTAAATTCCCCCTCCTAAGGTGTTAGCCTTTTTAGTGCCATTAAATTTGGCCATATGTATAGGAAACTTAAAAAAAAAATGTTGCTCTTTCTGCCATCGGTCCGTGCCGCCATCATGGTGCGCATGAATGTCCTGGCTGATGCTCTGAAGAGTATCAACAATGCCGAAAAGAGAGGCAAGCGCCAGGTTCTCATCCGGCCGTGCTCCAAAGTCATCATCCGGTTTCTGACTGTGATGATGAAGCATGGTTACATTGGCGAATTTGAAATTATTGATGACCACAGAGCTGGGAAAATTGTTGTGAACCTCAGAGGCAGGTTGAACAAGTGTGGAGTAATCAGCCCCGGATTTGATGTGCAACTAAAAGATCTAGAAAAATGGCAGAACAACTTGCTTCCGTCCCGTCAATTTGGTTTCATTGTACTGACAACCTCAGTGGGCATCATGGACCATGAAGAAGCAAGACAAAAACACACAGGAGGGAAAATCCTGGGATTCTTTTTCTAGGGATGTGATACATATGTGGAAATAAAATGCCTTCAAAGGACAAAAAAAAATGTTTCTAGCCTTTGATTGTAGTAGTTTTACTTTTTTTTCCCCAAATATATTTCTTTATTGATTTCAGAGAGGAAGGGAGAAGGAGAGAGAGATAGAAACATCAGTGATGAGAGAGAATCATTGATTGGCTGCCTCCTACACACCCCTATTGGGAATGAGCCCACAACCCAGGCGTGTGCCTGTGGCCAGAATCGAACCTAGGACCCTTCAGTCCACAGGCTGACGCTCTATCCACTGAGCCAAGCCGGATGGGGTTGATCGTAGTAGTTTCACTTCTAAGAGTTTATCCTAAGGAAGCAGCCAGCTTGCCAGAGAGTTGTGTTCACAAAAGCTGTCTGTGCCCGTGCTTACGACGTGGGCCCTTGTGAACACATGCTCGCCACAAGCAGGTTCAGTCGGAATCCTCTGCAGCCACGTCATCAGTCTTTGATTCAGCTCTTACTACCTGAATGCCAGTGCGCGCATCGAGCTGTGCACAGTGTAGTTGAGTGTGCCAAGCTGGGCAGAGTAGGAGCCATTACATGAAAAAACAGTAATGCAGAGACAGCCATGTGGGAGGTGAGCTGGCTGGAAGGGCTGGGGCTTGGCTTGGCCCAGCGTGGGGCCAGGTGGAGAGAGCCCGAGTGCCAGGGCGAAGACGCGCCCGGGAGAGGCACTCATGTTTCCGAACTCAGTGCCCGGGGCCGCCACAGCACCTTTATTTTGGATCCAGGTGGGAAAGGGATGGAGAAGATGGGAAGATGAGAGCCTGGTGCGAGGGGTGATAGGCCCTGGGCACGGAGCAGGGAGGTGAGTGTGGGCAGAATAGCTTCTGTTTCTTCTTTCTCACCGATGATAAAACACTCCTTTTGTTTTCAGCTCCGGAGCACATACTTTGACACTAAACAAGATTGTGCCACATATATGTAATTTACTTGGAGATCCAAACAGTCAGGTGAGTGTGTTTCCCTGAGAATGGTCATTGGTTTAGACAGCTAACATGCTTGTTGGTGTTCTATGTATACCTGATGGTGGGTGGGACTATTCATCTTTATAGAACTCTGATTACTGTTTAAGATCATGACCCCAGTAGCGTTTATAAGATACCATTGGTAAATGTGGCGGCCACTCTGCCCTCTTTCCACATGGGGCTGAGACTTCATGAGCCTGTAAAGTGATGTCCTCCAGACCAGCCTCCAGGATCCCATCACTCTGGCCACCATCTCTGCGGCTGGAAGAGGGTGGGCCTCGGGGAGGATGCCCAACACTGATTGGAGGTGAACACTGTGGGTGGGGATTGACCGGAAGTTGTGAGGGGACTGCTCTAGGCCTGGAAATGTTCATGGTTTGCTTTGGGTAGCCGCCATGCTGGTGTGTACCTGTGGAAACTCCTTGAACCCTTGACAACTGTAGACATTTTATATAAATTTTACCTAAATTCAAAAACAGAACAAAACATGAAAACGAGGCCCCACTTCCTGAGCTGACGGGAGGGACAGGAGTGGGTAACCCGTGGCCAGGTGCCATGTCCCCGGGCTGGGCAGGTCTGGGCCAGCTCGTTCACAGCTGAGTCCTCTGGTCCCCGTTCACTCATGTAGGCTGTTAAGAAAACATTTCAGGGTGGAAAATAGGAAAATAGTAACACAAACTTACCAAGGATACATTTGTATAGTAAACAGGTCTTCATTTTATGTATTTTTATTTTAAAATCTTTATTAATTGATTAATTTGAGAGAGGGAGGAAAGAGAGAGAGAGAGAGAGACAGACATTTGTCATTCCACTTATTTCTGCATTCACTGGTTGATTCTTGTATGCGCCCTGACTGGGGGATCAAACCTGCAACCTTGGCATATGGGGATGATGCTCTGACCAACTGAATTCCAGCCAGGGCCGAACAGGCCTTCATGATTGCTCAAGTCCCTACAGAGAGCCTCGCTTCCACCAGCTCCTGGGACCCGCCCATGCATTGTCTTATCCTCTCTTCTGGCCCTGAACCCCAGTTGCACTTTCGCACCCTCTCAGCTGCCGCTCTGCTGCTTTTCCTCCCAGCCTGGCGTCTCAGGCTCACTGCCCCACTGTCTCGTCTCCTCGGCTGGCGCCTACTTCTCGCCATTCATCTCTTACCCAGCCGCAGTGAAAATGCATAGTTAACATCCAAATACAATTGTTAGATATTTTTATTTATGGAATCATACTTTATGTTCAGTATTAATTTAAACATTCTAGATTACCTGATGAGTTATTGGCCCCCTCCCCTTTTTGGTGTTGTCTCCATTTTTGTGTTCTGTGGAAAAGTCCTTTATAGAGGCCACACTTGGAGGGTATCCTTTAGTGGAGCAGGAAAGCCAGCCTGGCTAGTTGAACTTACTTGTCCCTAATGCAGTTGCTTACTTAGCCACAGGTGATGAGTAGTCACGCTGGGCCTGTGGGAGATGGACATTTCTGGTGAAATGAGGTTGGTGCTCCCTGGACAGCTGTGAGCAATCTGACAGTCAGAGTGTTCCAGATGGAGTGCTCAAGGGTCATGTACTCACACCTGCTTTTGGAGTGTGTGGTCAGCACGGATGCGTGTGCAAGCGCAGACGCACACGAGCCGCATCCCCAGCACCCTCCTGCCAGGAAACTTCCCAGCCGCTTCTCCGATCCCATCCACTTACCCATGCCTCCTTCACCTGAGGCTGTTTTCCACGGATTTTCTTAGAGTGACAGGTAGGGGAGAGGCACAGAGAGGGAGACACCAATGTGAGAGAGACACATCCGTTGGTTGCCTCCCACACACACTTGGACCAGACACCAGACATTGAGCCCACCACCAAGGTACGTGCCTTTGACCGGAATGAAACGGAAGGCCCTTCTGGGCTTGGCCGATGCTCTAACCATTGAGCAACCAGCCAGGACTTGCCTTTAACTTTTCATTAGTCTTGCCCTTGAGGGTCAGGACTGTGACTGGCTCCTCTTCCTGTCCCAGGACTGCCTTCCAGCAGTGTGAGGGTTCAGTAGACACCCCACAGCTGCTTGAATGACTTGCCCTTCTTAGCGTTTGTCTCAGGCCAGAGAGGACAGTGGTATCTGGGCAGTGCTGCCGCCGTGCTCCCTGCCTTCAGCGCTCGCATGGGGAGTTCGCCTGGCTCTGCAGGAGGCCGCGGACCCTGGGCGTGAACTCTGGACACCTCTCCCTTAGGGGGCGTGAGTTCATTTGCATATTGGTCTGGGCAGAGGGACTCGCAGTGGGAAACCCCTCCGTACAGATAGAGGGGTGTTGCTTAGGATACTTTCGCTGGAGCCGTGGGAGAAGCATTGTCCTGCATCATGTGGAGGAGCTCTAGGCTTTGTTAGTGAGCAGTCATTTCCCAGAGACTGGCTCAGTCCTTGGGCTTTGTCCTTGGCAGCTGTCCCCAGAGACACAACCCAGGCCCAGCCCAGCCGCCTGCATGCTCCGCCTGCCTGGTTGACGAAAGCCTGGTGCTTCCCGTGTTCCGCCTGTTTTAACTTTTCTGTCCTGAGAGCTTGAAACCTGCACGGACACTGAGAACGAGAGTGCATCTCATTGCCATCATCGAGCTTCAGCAGCTGATGAGACAAGGCCAGTTTAGTTCCATCTGTGCTCCCTCCCCCGTCCCAATATTTTGAAGCAAATCTTAGACAGCATTTCATTTACTTCTTTAAAAAAATGTTTTTATTGATTTCAGAGAGGAAGGAGACGGGCAGAGAGATAGAAACATCAGTAATGAGAGAGAATCATTGATTGGCCACCTCCTTCACACCCCGTACTGGGGATTGAGCCCACAACCCAGCCATGTGCCCTGACCAGGAATTCAACCGTGACCTCCTGGTTTATAGGTTGATGCCCATCCACTGAGCCACACAGGTCAAGCTCATTTAATTCTTAAATACTGTAAAAGATAAGACTCTTTTCATACAGAACCTTAACACTGTATTCCCTCCTGTCCACCAGGAACGAGTGGTTCTCATGTTATCAAGTCCCCGCCAGTGACCCCTTTCCCTCAGTGTCACGTGTTTGTGGTGTACCGCATTCCTCTTGGCAAGGGTGGAGACGCACGCCCCTGAGTTCCCTGCGGCCCTTCGCCTCCTCAGGTTTCCTGTGGCGAATCCCTTCCCTTCCCTGTGTTACACTGAGATTTTACCTCCTGAGCTGAGGATAGGGTTTCCTTCCCGGAGTGCAGTTTGCAGAGCTAGGATGACAGTGGCTCCAGCACAGGCAGCGTGCTGAGACGTCACTCACCATAGGAAGTCTCTGTTCTAGATCAGGACTTACGTGCGCATCTTTAAGTGTCTGAGGATTGTTGGTCTCGGCACTCCCTGCAGCTGGACCTGAACTGGGCTGAGCCAGCTGTGCTCCGAACGGGGAGCCTGTGCCCAGGGCTGCAGGCCATGGCAGTGCCCGTGAGGCCCCGCTGAGTCCGCAGGGGTGTGTCACCTGCTCTCCAAGGCAGGCTGGCTGGGGCTGTTCTCCCAGGAGAGGGTAGGTGTGCTTCCCATCAGCTTACCGCACCCTTCCTTTCTCTGGAGGTGGAGCCGTCCCTCAAGTTGTAAGATTCACAGGGATCTCTATTTTGACATCCTCAGTGGAAGGCAGTGTTCTAAGGTGAGAAGGATGAGGGCCTGCACTCAGGCAGCAGCCAGCTCCCTGCCCTGCTGGTCACCTGCTGTGGGCCCAGCAGGTGGCTGGCCTCACTGCCCCAGGCCCCATGACACGGTCCACAGAGGCCCTGCGAGGATGGCTGCAGATGCAGAGACCTCAGGATCTGTAAAGCATTCAACTCAGGCCCGGCAGGTAATGCTGAACCTGTGGGCTCTTGTCTTGTGCAGTCCTACTGGCCTGAAATGTTAGGGCTCCTTCTTGTGGTGAGTTTGAGGTAGACAAAAATACACTTTTTTCTGAACATTTGAAAGTGTCTTATAGACATGATATTTTTAGTCCTGATGCTTTATACTGTGCATCTCCTAACAGGACATTTTCTTATATAAGCACTAGTGGCCCAGTACACGGATTTGTGCACATTGAAAGGAAATTAATTAGAAGAAATATTTTAATATCACTATTCTCTATAATAGAAGTGTCAACCAAATTCATGTTTGACAATGACAGATTGAAACATACGCATGAGATTGGTGCCAGCGAGAGCTTTATATGTATCGTGGAAGCACAAGTCAACTTAGCCTGGTCCACCATTTCTTCTTTTCAGTCGGGTCAAGTTTCTAAACTTTCTAAATCTCCATTTTCCTGCTAATGAAAAGAAAATGGGATTCCACCCAGTCTATCTACCTCCTGCCCTGCCCAATCCCGGCTGATCTGCCCCTGTGCAAGCTGCCGCCCCACCAGGAAGGGTCATGGATCCGGGTCCCGGGACTGCGGACAGCCTCAAGCACTGTCCCCAGCCTGGCAGGGTCACAGATCTGGGTCCCGGACTGCGGACAGCCTTACCTGCTGCCGCCTGCCTTCAGTACGCAAATTGGCCGCCATCTTGTTGCTTCAGGGTGGGGGTCCCCACTGGGGTGCCTGGCCAGTCTGGGTGAGGAGATGATGGCTGTTTTTAGGCTGGTGGGCAACTGAGGCTCCCAACCTCTCCTTTTTTTCTTTTTTTTATTCTGGGATTTATTTACCTTCTATAGCTGTCAGCTGAGCTGAGAGCCGGCTTTAGCTCTGAGGCCTGGCGTTTCTTTCTTTCTTTTTTTTTATGGGAGAGTGAGAGGGAGGAGAGAGAGAGAGAGAGAGAGAGAGAGAGGGAGGGAGGGGGAGAGGAGAGAGAGAGAGAATGAGAGTTGTACAGGTGGACCCGATGCAGTGACTCTGCAACATTGTTTCTTAGAGTTGCAGCTCAGAGTCTGGCAGCGGCAGGCAGGAAACCTTGGCCTCCTATTCACTTCAGCTGCCTGGCTGCTGGTCGCCATCTTGGTTGGCAGTTGATTTGCATATATCCTGATTAGCCAATGGGAAGGGTGACGGGGTTATGGCCAGTTTGCATGTTTCTCTTTTATTAGATAGGATAGCTATCTCATTTTCACATTCAATAAATTTAATATTGGGATAATGGTAATGTGTAATAGACAGTTCATAGTTGAGTTTCCCCTAGTTTCTTTTTTTTTTTTTATTCCATTCTGCCCTTGAGCCTTATTTATTGCTGCCTCCTTTGTTCATATTTGTGTTTGTCCTGGCTGCTTACTTGCTCTTCCCGAGGCTCACGCCCTTCACTCTGCTCCCAGGCCCTTGTGCAGGCTGCGCCTCGCTTGGCAGCTGCCTCATTGCATCCTTTCCTGGTAAAATGCACATTCAGGCACATTCCAGGTGGTTCCTTCCTCCCCAGAGAACATTCCTTGGTCTCCTGTGGTGTGCGTGTCCCCTCCCTAAACTACCAGCTCTTTGTACTCTTGTATAAAATGATTTTATTACAGTCTCTCCTGTATTAAATGTAGAATATATGGAATTTTCCCCATTTCCTTTCTAGAACTGTGAGTGTTTTTCCCATTTTTAATTTTTTAATTTATGAGCTTCTTGAATACAGGCCGTACTGCCCATTTTCCTTACTCACTTAGTGTTTGACCTAAATCCAGAGTACTTTACATGGTGTTTTTATTGTCCGTATAATTTAACTTTCTAATTTGGAAAGATGCCCTGAAAATTCTAGTTTTCTGACATCATCTTAAAGAATGAAGAAAAAACAACTAAGGGATATGGACTTGAATGTGTATATGGGAATAGGACCTAAGTTTTTCTACTCTTTGGGATTGTACCTACAGAGTCAGAACTGTTAACCGAGGTTTCATCTGGTCAAATATCTAGAAAGGATTGTATACACAGTTGCACTGGTAAAATGGCGATGAACTTGGGGTGGTGTGTAGCCTGCTGTGTCCCAGCAGGAAGTGCTGTGGGATGACACCGAGAGCTATAAGATCTCTTCTTTTACATCTAGGTTCGAGATGCAGCAATAAACAGCTTGGTGGAAATTTACAGACATGTAGGAGAACGTGTGAGGGCAGACCTCAGTAAGAAAGGATTGCCGCAGTCCCGGTGAGTTCAGACTTTTTTCCCTTCTTCTGCTCTTCCTCCTACTCTTTTTCAGTTAACATTTTGGTTTGCACTTCTTTTGTTGTGATAAATTTTCAGAGAATGTATGGTTAGTGGATTGGTGATGGGAGAGATTGTCCTGATCGTATGGTATGTCAGAGGTCCCTTCCCATTCCAATTCCTCAAAAGTAAGACTCTCACCCAGACATCTAGCCAAGTGCCAGGCCATCCCTGATTTTAGAAGCATATTTAAAATGGGTGGATTTTGAAAATTCACCATTCTTTTGGTTCAGATGGTTCTATATATTATATACACACAGCACCTCGTTATAATATGTGCTTAGAATATCTTTGAGTGAGTGGAGCCTTTCTAAGAATGAGTTTGGTTGGGAAAACATCTTTGAAATGGTAGTTTTCTGTTCAGTAATGTCAGCCTCCCCATGAAGAAGCTGGGGGTCAGCATCTTATCAGACCCAAGGCAACTTGAGTGCACAGATGTCTCTGTTGTGTCTGAATTTAAAAATTAATGGAGAGTTGGATGTGCATAATTTGAACTGTGATGCAGAAACCTTGCACCAAATGAATTTCAAACCCCTTGCCCCAAACCCCATTCCTTTAAGGGAGAAAGTCATGTGAAAACCCTGGGAGTTAGAGGCGGACTGCACTCACAGAGCAGCTGGTCAGAGCCTGTCCTTGTGGCCACGGCAACAGCAGAGGCCCAGAGACATGCATTGAGCTCACACAGCCGAGTCAGAGCTGGCCTGAAGCTCTGTTCTCTGCCTCGCCTTTTCGTTTCTTCATCCTGTTTGACAAGAGTTCACAGAGCACCCAGGCATGGGACGGAATATTGAAGTATACAGGGGTCTTGATGTCCCTTAATTGGATGTGACAGTGGGCCCCTCACCCTAAGGACGGGGTTCCACGAGCAGCTGAGTGGGGCTATCTTCTTTCTTGCTGAGTCATGTCGGACCTGGTATCGCTCTCACTATGGGCCCTGAGCTGTGCACAAGGCAAGGAGATGGGCCGTTAACTACTCTTCATGTGCTTACAAAGATAATCTCCGAGAATAAAGGTTTTTTGCCCATGTTTTACTAACCTCAGCCTTCTGGATTGTGAATGAATGGTGAGAACACTTATGGTGAGAGACAAAACTTAGAGACGAAACTACTGAACAATCTCTTGGGCAAAATTTGAGGGAGGACACAGATGAACGGCAGAGCAGGGGCTGGAGGCAGAGGGCTGTTTGATGATGTCACGATCATTGTTGGGAAAACAGGCCTTAGGCAGCAAGACTCTCCTGCTCCAGGATGGCTCTTCATGCACTGCAGCTCACAGGGTCCAGGGCCCTGAGCGGACCGGCAGCGTACACGGTGGGGTTCCTGGGTAATGCTCGAAGGTTGCTGCGGTGAGACCTAGAGGTGGGTGCAGGAAGGAGCCGGCACTGCTGGCCGGATGGCTTTCTGGAGACGCCTGCTTGCAGGGTTGGCCCTGGGCCGTGTCTGGAAACTTGGATGTGGGAGGATTCCCAGTGTCCCTGAAGAGCGACATGAGAGTGGCTCCCTGTGGCCCACGGCGCAGGCCTTACGCTGAGCCCCTGCTTCCCTTCAGGGAGTCTGACATTTTGGGAAGTACTGGGCAGAGGGTGTCTGTGTGACCAGCCCCGATAAAACCTCCAGGCACTGAGACTAATGAGCAGACCGCCTTTCCCAGGGGTTCCCCACCCGTTGCTGGGAGATTAACCACGTCCTGTGTGACTTCACCAGGGGAGGCTCTAGGAAGCTTGTGCCTGGCGCACTGGTCCTCACCCCGCGCACCTTTTCCAGTTGCTGGTTTTTCTTTGTGTTCTTTTACTCCGATTGTCCTGTAATAATTACAGCTGTGAGTATGACTATATGGTGAGTTCTGTGAGTTGTGTTAGCAAATTGTTGAATGTGGGAGTGGCCTAGAGGCCCCTCAGCACAGAGGGTGCTTCAGGTAAGGCCCCAGAGGCAGTGGATGCCAGAGCCCAGGCATGCGTGTCGTGTGCTTCCTGCTAATCCTTTTTTTTTTTTAATGAGAGAGAGAGAGAGAGAGAGAGAGAGAGAGAGAGATGTCAATCAGTTGCCTCTCGTACACGCCTGGACTGGGGATCAAACCCGTAACCTGGGTATGTGCCCTGACCATGAATCAAACCCACCACCTCTGGTGTATGGGGCAACACTCCAACCAACTGAGCCACACCAGCCAGGGCCACATACTTTTAGAAAATATATAAAAAGCTACAGAAGAGCTGGGCCTGTGTGAATAGGAATGGGGGTTTCTGCTATTTCATGTTATCTAAAAATTTCCCCCCTAATTCTGAACCAAATGGAGAAGGTAGTCCTGTTAGAATGGACACACATGGTCACAGCCGTTCTTGTGAATGCACAGGGCTTGGAGAGTGAGGCTGGCGGTTCTTTAAAAACGTGCTCTAGTGAAAGAAGCTGAAACCAGGTTTCTCTGGATTTATTGCAAGACAGTTACCTAAGGTCTAGCACTGTGAGTGTCGGAGGCTCTGGCTGCCACCTTTATTCTGTCAGGGATGTGTCCACATGGAACGAGACTTGTAAAGAATCCTGCTGTTTGGGAAACTCAGTGTCTGCTCTGTGTGGCTCCGATAGTTGACTTGAGTACTTGACTATTCTAGACCTCTGTTACATCATTATAGATTTTTTTGTTATTATGTGAGCATAACAGATTTTTCAGCTTAGCAGGATTCCATAGGACTAATGAAATCTTGTAGAATTTGCTTAATGCTTTCTAAAACTTGAGTTTTGTCCTGGAATGAAAATGTTGACCTCCTATGAGTTTGCTCATTGAGAACTACATTTGAGAAGAAGGTTAACTATAACTCTAAAAAAATACATGATGTAAAAGAATGCCTTCATCATACCAGCTAAATAACTTTAACAAGAGCAGACTCATCTGAGCAGCAGTTCTTTGTTCATTCACAGTTGGGAAGTGCCTGTCACGTTGGAGGAGCTGGTATTAGGGGTTTGGGTTACATGTTAAAAGCTGTTTTAGCCTTGTTGTCTGGTGGCTAAAATCATATTTGAGCCAAAAAGTAAAGCAGAGATTTTCAACCAAGTCTCCATGTTAGCAGGTCTCTCCCCCCACACAGGATCTCAGCATTGCTGAGCTGTGAACTTTAGTTAGGATAGTCTTCGGCCATTATACATTGTTTAACACATTATTTTCGCAGTTCATGCACGTGATATGTGCAGAGAGTAAGTGCACAGTTTGTAGCTATCCAGGGTGGCATGCCATATGGTTGCGTGATGTTTGTGTGGCATGCTGGGCACCCTCTGTCACTCCTGTGGCTTACTTCCATAGACACGTGCTTTCACACGCTATGGCATTCCCCATCCTCCTAGTGGACATGCCGGGCGATATTTGTATCAGTGGTATATTTAGTTTGGAAGCTGTGGGTAAAAGACTGGTGTTAAGTTTGTCTCTGGTTCCATCATTTGGGAACCAATTGCCTGGAACAGCAGCTGCTTTAAACCTGGAGGAACTTTAATTTATAGAGGGAGCCGATGCATGCCATCTGATGCACTGTGGCCATGTGGCCAACTTACAGTGACCCTGCAGTTTTGAATAGTTCTCATAATGTTTGGTTTGCTATTTCAATCTATTTAAAATTTATGGACATTCACTAGACATTATTACTTACTGATTGTATAGTTAAGGGAAAAATGGAAGCTTTCTCGTTGTAAATTTGCTTGCTAAAGCTTAGTGCTGTAGAGAGGGCCCACGGCAAGAGCAGGATGAGAGATGTGCTTGGCAATGTCTGCTCTCGTTTCTGAGTTTGTTACTGCCAGGGATGTATGCAGAGGAGCTGACGAGGTGGATAAGAGATGGAAGAAAGGCAGGTCCTTACCCCTTTGCCATTTTTCTGCAGAAGCAATGCTGTCACCTGGCTTCTGGCTGCTTTTGTACCTGTTGCTCTGTCTCCAAATACTGTGCATGTACTGCTAAACCTTAGGTTTTTTTGTCACAAGAACTTTACTTTGCATCATGCAGGGTAAATTTCAGCTCTTTCTTTCTAACCTCCCTCATGTATAGCTGCCATCTCCACACCCACCAAATATAGTCATGTTTTAATTTTGATGAGAACATTTAGTTCATATTATAGTTAAGTATGCCACGCACTATCTATATTTGGTGAATTATGATTACTTTACCTTTCCCCCCCATCCTTCTGTTTGTCCTGGGTTATTAATCATATTTCATGTGCGTAGTGTCCACATCTTACCCCGAGGACTGTCTGTGTACTGCCAGTTGTGGACGTGACCTTGAGCCTGTCTGGTCTGACGGGCTGCCTCTCTGCCTTCGCAGCCTCAATTTTACGTATTCTCCTGGCAGCTCTACCAGCATGTTGGGGCTTCACTTCTCCTTTCTCTGCAGAGGCATCTGGTGTTTTTTGTTTTTGTTTTTGGTGGGGGGTGGGGGACACACACCATGTCTCTTTTGGTTTTCTCTCTTATTTTAGTTATGCATATCCTCTATTAGCTTTCTCAGAAAAGATGTGGAGGAGACTTTCTTTGAGTCTGAGAAGATCTTTATTCTGTTTTGATATTGGTAGTTTGTCAGGGTTTAGAAATCTAGGTTGAAAGTCATTTTCATCCAGAATGTTAAAACTGATGTCCATGTATTCCAGCTTTTAGTGTTTCTTTCTCCTGAGAAGTCCAAAGTCATTCTGATTCTGCAGTCTATCAAAGTAGGTAACTTTGATTTTCTGTCTCTAGAGTTTGTCTGAAACTTTATGGTGAGGAGTCTTATAGAGACCATTTTCATTGCTTGGAGGGCCTTTCAACTTGGAACCTTGTGTTTGGATCTGGGCTAATTTCTTTACCAGTATCTCTATATCTATCTATACTTATCTACCTACCTAAAAATAATTCACTATTTTTTAAAATATATTTTTTTATTAATTTCTTAGAGGGGAAAGGAGAGATAGAAACATCAATTATGAGAAAGAGTCATGGAATAGCTGCCTCCTGCACCCCTGATGACCCTACTGGAGATGGAGCTTTCAACTCCTGGCATGTGCCCTGACCTGGAATCGAACTGTGACCTCCTGGTTCATGGGTTAATGCTCTGCCACTTGAGCCAGTTAATGCTCTTTACTGGCTGGGCTAGACTATTTTTTAGAGCCATTCTAGATTTATAGAAAAGCCGATTATTCCTCTCCTCCTCTATTTAGTTTCCCCTGTCCTCATCTATATATTTTTTTCTTTTTAAAATATATTTTATTGATTTTTTACAGAGAGGAAGGGAGAGAGATAGAGAGTTAGAAACATCGATCAGCTGCCTCCTGCACATCCCCCACCGGGGATGTACCCGCAAACCAGGTACATACCCTTGACCGGAATCGAACCTGGGACCCTTCAGTCCACAGGCTGACGCTCTATCCACTGAGCCAAACCGGATTCGGCTATATTTTAAAAGACTTTGTGAAGGATTGGTATTAATTCTTGTTTAAACATTTATTAGAATTTACCAAGTGTTCACCATCTGGGCCTTTGCTTTAGGGCAATGGTTCTCAACTTTCTTAATGCCGCGACCTTTTAATACAGTTCCTCATGTTGTGGTGACCCCCAATTTCATTGTTACAAATTGAACATAATTAAAGCATAGTGATTAATCACAAAAACAATATGTCATTATATATGTGTTTTCCGAGGGTCTAGGCGACCCCTGTGAAAGGGTCGTTTAACCCCAAAGGGGTTGCGACCCACAGGCTGAGAACCGCTGCTTTAGGGGGATGTGTTTTGATTACTATAATTAATGTCTTTTGGTATAGGTCTATTAGCTAGGGCTGCTGCTTCTTTATTTTTTGTTCTTTGTTGTTGTTAATCCTCACCCGAGGATATTTTTCCGTTGATTTTTTAGGGAGAGTGGAAGAGAGAGGGAAAGACAGAGAGAGAAACATCAATGTGAGAGAAACACATTGATTGGTTGCTTCCTGTAGGAGCCC